CTGATTTTTTGATTTATTGCAGAAATGAGGTCTTGCTGCCCAGGCGGGTCTCGAACCCGCGGACTCAGGCAATCCACTCACCTCAGCCTCCCAAAGGCGTGGGATGACAGGCTGAGCCACCGAGCCCGGCTCTAACAATCATTTTTTATAACAAACTGAATTCTAGTAAACATAGGCCCACAGGAAACTGAAAAAGATCTACTAACCAGTTCTATACAGGTAACATATTAACCTCTTCATCAGTTAACTCAGTTATTGCTAAATTGGAAAGCAAATACTCCTATTTTTATGTCTCTATTCGACTATTTTAAAGTCTCTTTTGGAAGGTGGAGGGGTGCTGCTTTTCACCCCTGCCCAAGGAATCAAATTATCAATATTCAACACTTGCAAAACTTTTAGAAACATTTGCATCCCACTCTCAGTTCTTGTTAGATTGAATCGGGGGAAAGACAAAATACACGGAAGCCCAAGTCATATTACATGTGACACTGCAACCTTGGAAAAGTAACTCTCATTTTCTTAAGAGAAAAGCACCTTGTAGCCAGTGAACCCAACAAGACGGAAACTGATGCATACCCCCTTCTGTTTAAAGAACCAAGTTTCCATAAAGGGGGAAGGGCGGGAGGAGGGTCTTGGGACTGTGCCTGGAAGAGGGAATTCGAAGTGGCACTGAGTTCGCGAGACTTTTTAGGAGATGGAGCGGCTCCATCTCCCGGACACGAATCAGAACTCCGCTCCACGGGAAAGCATTTGCCTCCAGACCTCAGGGCTTCCCAGTACTCACGACCCAGAAAACGAGCGGCGAAAAAAGCACCTAACGGCCCTGCCTGGGTCCGGGCGACGAAAAGCAGGCCGCGGCGAAGATCTTAACTACTCTCTAGAAGTCAAAAACCAGCCTAAAACAAGAATCGCCCGATACCCGCACGCTCTCCCGCAGGGCCCCGCGGGCCGGCAAAGGCACACCGCTCCCGCGTCTCCAAAGGTCTCGCCGGAAACGTCACGCCGCGCGCTGTGCGTCCGGGGGGCGGCGCAGGGCGGGGGCGGGGCTCGAGACGGCCAGTCGCAGCGCGCGCCCTCCCTCCAGGGGCGGGCCATGACGGCGTCACGTCACCACCCGCGCCCCGAGTCCCCGAGTGAGGCGGGTGTGGGGGCGGCGCTTGGTCGGAGCGGGGCCCCCGGCGGAAAGGGCCAGCCAACGATAGTCCCAGCTCCAAGCCCACGTGGCCGGAAGTCAGAAACCCAGAGTCGGAATCGAGTCTTGCACGAACTGGGCCGAGGGGCTGGGCCAGCCTGAGGTGGAGGCCGCCGATGCGGGAGGAGGACGTCTGGGGCTGGATTCTGAAGGACCGCGTTAATGGAGGGACAGTCTACCAGGCACAACTAGATGCGGGTCGTCCGGGAGGACTGTCACTCTAGCCCATCATGCTGTTGCTTCCAGTCGGGAGGGACTGCTTTGCGCCTGCAGAGAATATAGTGACCGCAGAATAATGTGACTCACTTCTGTGTTTGGGCTTGTTTTACGGAACGAGAAGCATCTGGAAGGGGGAGAAAGAGCAAGTTAAATATTTCCACCCACCTCTGCGGATCTCCAAATGTCCACAGCATGACTTGATCCCCACCCCTACTTCCAGAGCTGTTTCTCCGTCCTAAAATTTGGTGTCATCCTTGACTTCTCCATCTGCTTCATCCCCTACAAGTATCATCATAAATTTCATAAATAAAATCTTCAGGGAATAAAGCAAGTCGCAGCTCATACTTTTGTTTCTGAATTTGAATTTATGCCAGTAAAAGACTAGTTCTGGAAGTAAATGTGCGTGTTTCTTTTTAAATATTAAAATAGACCTTTCACATGCATTCAGCTACAAATAGTGCCTTTTGTTTATTTTATAGAGACAAGGTCTTCCTTTGCTGTCCAGATTGGTCTCAAACTCCTTGTTTCACACGATCCTCCCGCCCCCACCTCTCAAAGTCTGGAATTACACGTGAGTCACCACACTGGCCCTTACAAATAGTGTTATCTGCTGTTCCTTACCAATCCATTATCACTAGAAAATTTATTAATCGGGTGCAGTGAGTGAGGAGTAACTTGTCAAGTTATGTTGTAGTTAATGGTTTACATGTCTCTCTCTCTCCCGGTGAGTGCTAGCTCAGATGCCTCTTAATCACTTTTGTATCCCCCCAATGCCTGGTCTGTCAGAAGTGTTCATTCAGTAAATGCTAGGTGAATAAATGAGTGATTCTGGTAAAATATTCCTTTATGTAGGCTTGGCATTACATCACACAGTTTTATATCTGTGTTTGACCATGCCCCTTCACACTTTTCATCAAACTGATGAGGTCTTCATATCTTGACTGATATTAATCTGACACCTACAAAAATGTTTGTCTTTTGATCGATAATTGCTCAGTGTAGACATATCCCTAAAGAAAAACTTTCCACTTGCAGCACCACCTACCTTCCAGATTGCAAAATGGAAGCCTGTGTTGATCATAGCAGATTTTAACCAGCCAAAACTGTAGACTAAGAATTTGGAGCAATTCTAGTATGCCAGACCCTCACCAACTAAATGGAACTTTCCTGCACAATGAATCACAGAATTTGTCTTAACCAGCTGGAAATGGATTTAGGGACTTAATCCTTCCTATGCAGGTGTAAGCTTCAAGCCTTAGTTATATCTGACATGATCCCCACATTATCATTAAAAGAAATTTAACCGACAGAAAATTAAATTACCTGTAGTCCTAGTTACCGGTAGAGCTGTTATGTGAAAGTCTAACTTTAAAGGCTATGCCCTTACCTCTACAGTATGCTGCTTCTTGTAATGTCGTTCCTCATCCAGAACATATAGCTCTTCTGTGTATGTACAGTCCATCAAAACATGTCATAAAACAAGGAAATTGATTTCAGCTCTATTTCAATTAGTTCCAAAGTGCATCTATCAGTTATATGTATTTATAATGCTTCCAGTTGGCATTAACATTGTTAGGAACTAGCTCAGCTCTTAACTAGAAACCCAAGGAATTATTGGAACCCTGAACCACAAATGTGTGAAAGGGGTGTAACCAAGATTATCTGAGGAAAGGTTAAAGTTTTATGCTTTAAATTTTATTATTTAGCTCTTTTTGTTTTGTCTTGGTTTGGGTTTTTTTTGAGTTGGAGTCTCACTCTTTGTCACCCAGGCTGGAGTGCAGTGGTACACTCATGGCCACCGCAGCCTCGACCTGCTGGGATCAGGCAATCCTTTCGCTCAGCCTTCTAAGTAACTGGAACTACAGATGCACGCCACCACGCCCAACTAGTATTTATTTATCTTAACAGACAAGGTCTTGCTATGTTGCCTAGGCTGGCCTTGAACTCCTGGGCTTAAGCAATCCTCTTGTCATGCCCTCCCTAAGTGTTGGGATTATAGGTATGAACCACCGCGCCGGCCAGAAATGTTTAATTTTTAGCCTTTGGTTGGTCAGTGGGGCCTACTAATAGATTTTGGAGGTTTTTCCCACAAAGAGGCTTTGTGTCAGGATTGTGTCTTAATATACCCACAAAGCAAGAACAGTAGAGATCATGTGCCACAACAGAAGTGTTCGTGAAGAAAGGAATTGTGCTTCAATTTAAGCATGATTTTAACCATTTGTGGAGCCTTGAATGTGTTGACTTTACAATTTTGAGGCTCCTGAACAAAAACAAGTCCTAAGTTGCATTATTTCAAGGCAATTCATGTCTACTAAGCATCCACGACATTGATTTCTATGTCGTTGGAAGTATTTTATAGTTTTGTTTGAAGAGCAAAATCAGTCAATAACCCTTTCGCCTAATAAATTAATAAATGAAATAATGAAAAAAAAAACACCTATTTTCTCAACCTACCCTGTCTGCTGCATACTTCTGGATCTCACTTACTGGAGTCATTATTAACAAAATCATAATATTAGCAAAAGCTTATTTTCTGCCAGACACTGAAGTGCTTTACATGTATTCACTCATTTAATCTTCATACCAACTCTATGCAGTAACAACTATGATTATCTCTTACTTTTACACATGGGAGAAATTGAGACAGAAAGACAAGGTCATACAGTAAATGATTGAGCTGCCCTAACTCCTAGAGTCTGTTCTCAATACAGTGACCAGAGCACTCCTGTTATGAGTCTGTGCCATTCCTCTGCTTAGAGCCCCCTGGTGGCTCTTTTGTCTCAGGCTAAGCCCCACATGTTGACCTCCCTGACCTCATCATCTCTCTCCCCCTTGCTCCTAAGTCAGAGCATTTGATGAGCTGCTTCATCAACCCGGAACCTTCTTCCCAGGTAACCTTCCAGCTCACTCCCTTACCTCTTTTAAGTGTCTTCTGTTTTTGTGTGTTTGTTTGAATCTGGGTCTCACTGTTGCTCAGGCTGCACTACAGTGGTAAGATCATGGGTCACCGCAGCCTCGACCTCCTGGGCTCGGGCAATCCTTCTGCCTCAGCCTCATGAGTAGCTGGGACTGCAGGCACACACCACAATGCCTGGCTAATTTCTTGGTTTTTTGTTTTGCTTTTTGTTTTGTTCGAGACCAGGTCTAGCTATGTTGCCCAGACTGGTGTCAGACTCTGGGTCAAGTCTTTATTCAAAGGCTACTTCTCAGCGAGGCCCTCCCTGATCATTTTATTTAAAACTGGTTCTTGGCTGGGAGCAGTGGCTCATGCCTGTAACCCCAGCACTTTGGGGGGCTGAGGTGGGAGGATCGCTTGAGCCCAGAAGTTCAAGACCAGCCTAGGCAACATAGTGAGACGTTATCTCTACAAAAAAAGAAAAAAGAAAAAATGTAGTTGTGGCATGGTGGAATGTGCCTGTACTCCAGAGACTGATGTGGAAGGATCACCTGAGACCAGGAGGTTGAGGCTGCAGTGAGCCGTGATCATGTCACCGACTCTGGTCTGGGGAACAGAGTGAGATACTGCCTCAAAAAAACAAACAAACAAAAAAACTGCAACTCATCTGCATTTTCCTCCACAGTTGGTATTTCTCCCCAACTCTCCCCTCCCCCCACATCCTCCCCCTGCAACCTAACATGCTCTGTAACCAGCTTACTCAATGGGGACTCTTCCTCTCCACGCCAGCATGCAAGTTCCATCAGAGTGAGGATATTTATGCAGCATGTAGCACAATACCTAGCTCAACAAATATGTGTTGAGTGGACAAGTAGATGTGGAGGGAGAAACGAAAGGGGTAGTCGGCAGAGAGAAGAATGAAGATCTAGCATGCAGAGAGTCGGTGACAAGAGGGAGAGATTGCCCTGGCTGCATCCTGTCTCTGGCTCTTCCTGCCCTGGCCTTGTTCAGACACACCCATATATCTATTCCTTTGCTCTTTGTTGAAGCCTAGGATAGCCAGAGTTGCTTTTGTTTCTTGCAGCTAATCTTATTTATGCGGAGAAAGCATCATATACCCTCTGCCAGAAATGCCATTTTTATCCTTGTCCAAAAACTGTCATCTTTTACTAGAGCCATCAATCTGTACCTGAGAACCCCGTTAATGTGTTAAATTAATGCATTTAATATATTAATTTACTTACCCAACTTGTCCTTTGGGAAGGGGATCTTGTTTTTCCTTTCAGCCCACAGAACTTGTAAAGTACCTGGTACACGTGCTAAGCACTCAAGAAATGATTGTCAGGTCATCGTTTGATGAAGGGGGGAGGAAGGAGGTGGCATTTGGGGCATCCTAAGTATCGGAAGGGAGTGAATATTTGCTGAAAATCTGCTTTTCCATAAAGAGCACAGTT